TATATTTACAAAATTATATTAATAATATTTTAATTAGATAACAATAATATTATTATTATTATTATTATTATTATTATTATTAATTGGCATTAGGAACTCGAAACTGTTCATTGCCGCAAATACCAAAACCCATCATTGTTCCCATCCCTGAGGGCGATCCTTCCATTCGCAGTCTTCGTATCCTATTTCTTTTAAGTCTCTGTAATATATTAATATATATATATATATTTAATTTTATTATTTACAGGTTCATGGAAAATAATACAGGATCAAGAAATATATTTTTTAAAAACGTTTGAAATAGCAATTAGAAAGATGAATAAAAAATTAAAATTTGTTACCGACGTTATGTTTGCATACTTTAGAACACAAAAGTGTGGTAATACAGGAAACGGCGATTATCTTGGAGGTTTGTTAATCTAATTATCTCACCTTATAATAATCTCATTTCAATGAACCTGTATAAATCGTTTTTACAGATATCAAGATACATTTTGCATTGAAAGAACCTCACAGTAAATTTTTGCGATCTGCCGATTCAACCAAATTATTGATCGTAACTTATGCTTGGGATGGAAACGCATTACCAGGTTGTTGCTTTCTTTATTTCATTTTTATTTTCATTAAAGTTAATCAAAAAGTTCGTACATTCATTGAAACTTCACTTAGAAATTTTATAATGAATTGATGTAGATACTTTTTGATTTACTCTAACATTTAAACAAAATATAAAAATCGAAACTACGAAAATGTTAAGAACACAATTAAAAAAAAAAAAAAAAAAGAAAAGAAAAAGAAAAGAACATAATTAATTTCGTAGTAACGATTATCTTATCTCTAATTGCAGTCGACTTACAGGAAACGAATTTTGGAGCACTGATTTAAAACCAAGCGGTGATCCAGCGGCAGCTTACAGCACACAAATTGCCGAATTACACAATCCTTCGATCAATCCTAGAACTTGCGGTGCTAGTTTGCACGTGGCATCAGCCGAACATGGAATTTTGCACATATCCGATTACGCTAGACTTCATCTTACTTAGGTAACAACTCAATTTTATTCTTTCATACGAACTTTCTTTTCACGTAGAACAAGAAAATGGATTTGAAAAGTTTTAACTCAGAGTTTTGTAACAAGACAAATACTTTTTACGTACCATTTCAGAATAAAAGAAAAAGGAAGAAAAACTTTTACGAATGACAATTTATTATTTATAACAATTTATGTTTTAAATTATTCTGATAAATGTTTAAACTTTTCTTTTGAAACAACATAAAGCATCGATTTATTTTCTTTTTCTTTTTTGTCAAATTTACTTTTGAAAGTAATCAACAAAAAATATATGTGCAAATCACAAAAGTTAGAAGTGAAACCATACAAAATATTATTTTATTATTATTTTTATTTTTCTTGTAATTATTTATTTAATACTTAATAAAAATTCGCGCCTGTATGAATGCAACCCTCCAGACACACTTGAAAATGTTGCTTGCAAGCGCCACCTGTTGGAACGGAATTTTGTTCCTGCCCGAAAGATAGGCAACCCGTAATACACGCGTGTATAAACAGTTTGTACTTAAGAAAAATTACGTCCCAACAGGTGGCGCTCGCAAGCAACATTTTCAAGTGTGTCTGGAGGGTTGCATACCTACAGGCGCACATTTTTAAGAATAATGATACAAATTTAAATTTATTAATCTCATTCATTTTCAAATGAAATGTTCACTGCAATAAAAAAAAACAAATAAAAAAAGGACGAAACTTTTGTTTGAAAATTTAAAAAAATGATTGAAATTTTAAAGGAAAGGGCTGGCCCGATGGGCAGCAGTGGTCAACGAAGACCATCTCGATCACCGCGAAGTCAAAGAAGTCGTAGTGCAGATGTCGATTGTTTAAAAAAATATACCGAAAGAAGAATAGAAGGTAGAAGGCATACCGACGTGACAGATACAACCAAATTGGATACCTCAAGATGGATACCATTGGCAAAGAATATATCACGTGGTCAAACGAGTTTTAAAAAAACTTCACAATCACAAGTTTCTACGAAGGATGAAGACAAACGACGCTATGATAATTCATCGTCAAGTCCTAAAAACAACGATTCGATAAAATGGCAACAAACTTCTTCCGCTAAGATAACTCACAATGAGGATGATCGTAAAAGTAATCCACAAAATGAAAGGGAAATTGCAGAGAAAAATAAATTTTATGGCAAACAGGTAGCAGCTCGTAGTCGTAGTACTGACGTACCAACATTTAAGAAAGAAAAATTTACCGAGGAACGAAGACACACCGATTGCGGTGATATCAGAATTGCTTCAAGGTTGTTTTATCATTATTTTATTTATATATATATATATGCAATATTCTTAACAGGTTTATATAAAATAATAAAAATTGATCTAATGGTAGAGTCATTATCTTCCGAATTATTGATTTGTCGTCAAGTTTGTTCAGAGCCATCTATCGTTGAAATATCTGAACCAACTTGAGCGTAAACTCCTAACGATAGGCAACATTTGTATCGACGTATTTGACTTATCCTAAAATTGTTATAACTTTTGATATCTGCTTTATTTAAACAAATGTTTCAAACAAAAGTTATTAACATTTTATTTATAATTATAAATAATTATTTTCTAGATGGATACCGCAAATAAATAGCGTGAGATTTCGCGGTGATACGTCAACGTTTGCCAAATTTACAAATTCGTACGAAATTACGAAAAATGCGGCAACTAGGTGGATAACTTTTGCAAAAAATCCGTCACCATTTCCAACGCCACGAATGAATTCTGAGAAAAAAATGCAAATGGAAGATAATTCTCAAAAAACTATGGAACAAATAAGTCCGAGAAAAAGAGAGGAAGATAATAAAATCGAAGCAACAAAGTGGACGCCATTGAGAAAATTTGCATCACCCTTACCGTCCGAACAACGTAATCCCGAAAATGAAAAGGAACACGGTATAATAATTAAACAAAAAACAAATATATATAAATAAATAAAAATAATCGAATAAAATTTTGGTTTGTTTGTTTTTTTGTTTTTTTTTTTAGATTCACCAGAGATTAATTTAAATCGTTCGAAAAACAACGATCCAAACGATGCAATAGACAAAGCTAACAAATTGAGCCAACGAATGAGAGAATTGTACGATTTCAAAACTGAAAATGAATGGCCGAAGAGATTGAAAAGTCGACAATTTGAAGAAACTTGGATTAGTAAAAGTAGCAGTGAGGATGAAAGAAATCCACCAAGGGTTCGTAGAAACAGCCAAGATATGGAATTTAACGATAGATCGTCAAAAATCAAGGTAATCAAAAGTTCATCAGTTTCATTTGACAATTTGTTACAAATATTTGTATTCGTAGGATACAAGATCGCAAATTCATCGAACGGATGAGTCCCAGGTGTTTCACAGTGACACTGACGAAAGATCGAAGAAATTTGTCGAAAGGCATAGCAATTCGGAAGACCTTGGATTACGAGGAACCGCGGAAAAATTACGAATACAAAATCGACGCACACATTCTGACGATTATGATGAAAAATGTCGTAGAAAGGGTAGTTGTTATCGAACAGATAGCAAAGAAGAAACCGGTCAAACGAGAATTGCTGAACAACGAATGACACAAAACGATAATAAAAGAAATTCTAACGCTAGTGGAAGAAGATTGGAAGAATCTCGTACGAGTTATACAGAAATTTCTGAACTTCCTGTTAAAAGAAATTCAAGAATTAGCGATGCGAGTTATGCCAGTGTCATGAATAATCCAACTGGTAAACGAGGTAGTTTAGAATGTAGATCAACACAACGTATTCTTGACATGCCACCACGTAGAGCATTTAGTCAAGGTGAAGGTAGACCTGCCACACCTGTACCACCCATAGAAATGAACGCAGAACGTCCCGTTGCTGTTAGGTTAATATCCGAATGTCAAAAAAGGGACAGCACAAGATACAAAGTTTATTTGACGTAAATTAATATCTATTTCGAAGGATTTAACACGCCATTTTTCATGATTTTACATTTAAGCATTTATTTTGAGGTTATTTAGGTCTTTAAGTACTGTAATTTTTCAAAAGATGGGGTTGTATTGCAATTCAATTATTTTATATGACAAAACTAACCTTACTTTTTATATTTTTTTCAAGTACTATTGTTTTTATGTTGTTATAATTTATTAAATAGTTTAAAATTATATTAAAAATTAGCATTTATTATATAAAGGTTATCTATAGGTCTTTAGGTACTGCAAGTTTTCAATAGATGGCGTTGTATTGCAATTCAGTTATTTAGATATTTTCAAACCTTACTTTTTATATTTTTTACTGTATTTCATTATCATTTAGAATTAAATTAAATCAACATTTTATATAAAAAAAAAAAGCCACAGCAACGCGTAAACATAAATATAAAAAAAAGAATATAAATAAATATATAAAATTAAATAGATTTATCTCGACTCTTTTTGTAAATGTTAATTAATAATCGAAACTAGTAATATTCTCGTGTTAATATGTTTCTCAAATGAATTATCTCAAATATTAAATCCCCACCCCGACCCCACCCCACCCCCCCACTTTCAATTCACCATGTATGTTAAACTCATTATTTCAAATTATTATTAATTATTATCGAATAATAAAACAATTCGATGTGTAGAAACTGAAAAGAGTCGAGTGGTCATCGTTGTTGTTGTTGTTGTTGTTGTTGTTGTTGTTGTTGTTGTTGTCCTGTTAAATCAAAAAAACAAAACAAAAAAAATTGATATTTTCTAAATGAAAATTCAAATGAGAGATTATTAACAAATTGTATTATTTTTAAGATTAAAAATTAGATAACGTTTTGAAGATGATAGATTAATAAATATGCCTCTCTCTCTCTCTCTTTTTCTCTCTTTCTCTCTTTCTCTCATGTTGAAAAAATATCAAATAAAAATGTGAAATTTGTGCCTGTAATAAGAGAAACAATCAGGGTATAACTGTGAGTGATATATAAACGAAATAATAATTATTATTATTATTATATACCTATATATTACGTATTATATATATAGTATATATATATACTTATTTAAAGCATCGTTATCTCGTCTTATCGTCGTATTTTCCAAATGAAAAATGATCGTTGAATTTTCAAACGAATGAAGAAATACATTCTAATATTTATACACATACATATATATATATATATATACACACACAATACAAATATACAGAATAATTCTTAGATGTGTACAAATCAATTGGAAATAATAAGAAACGTTTTCTCGTGTGTGTGTGTGTTCTCGAGAAAAAAGTTGTCTTATTAAAAAAAAAAAACAAATTCTAAAATTCAATTAATTAATTATATAAACATTTTGTCTTGTGTTCAAAAGAAAATCAAATAGAGAATAGTATTATATATATATCTTAATATATATAAATTACGTGTGACGTTGTTTGTCCGCAATGGACTCCTAAACTACTGAACCGATTTTAATCAAATTTTGCAAAATGTATGCAGTTTCATCCAACTTGAAATATAGGATAGTTTATATCATTCTAACAGATGGCGGTATAAGGTAATTCGTTGACTTAAAGAGACATGTGTATTGGACTGATTGTGAGCCACAGCAATGCGTGGCGGGGCACCCCTAGTATAATATATATATATATAGCTTGATACCGAGCCAAGATTTATTAAATAAATAATATAATTATTAACAATCAATACAAGACCTTATCAAAAATGTACAAGAAACAAAAAAAAAACAAAGTAAATTACAACAATAAAAAAATAATGAAATAATTTTGAAAAATATATTATTCAACGTTCGCAATGTATTATTAATATTAACAATATATATATATATTATAAGTTGAATGTTTTAAACAATTCAAATCAAAAGAAATGTTGTGACGAAACTTTTCCTTAAAATTGTTCATTATAATTCAAATATTATATCGTAATTTATAATTGCACTAGTTTCAAATACGTCACGTGCACACGATATGTATAAAAAATAAATAAAAAAGTGTCATGGAAAACGAATCATAAATAAATCCAATTGAAATTTTTGTCAAACAATTAGGAAAAAGTGTTTTACATTTTCCCCTTTCTTTCATTTTCAATCTTATAATCACGTATGATTAATTTGTTCTTATTAAAACAAAAGTAAAATATGAACGTTTATTGACTTATTAAGGAAAACCAGAAAGTAATGTCGTTTCTACACATTTATATTTTTATATTTGAATTAAAAATCGATTAATTTTTATTGATTTATAAATCAAAATTTGTTACAAAGTAATTCGTTTAGAATTTAAGGTTAGAAACTGACATAAACTTTCCTAGGTCCATGTAATATTTTGATTAATTAAAACGTTCACTTTCTTTCAACGTGTCGAAAATCCTGACGAAAATTACCAGTAGAATCTTTAGCAAAGGTGACCTTGACCCTTTTACGCACTTGAACAACAGGATGTTGTTCACAATTAATAGACGTTGATCTACACTCTCTACCAATACCAGTTTGTTCATCTTCTTGTCTCTCAATTTTGAGTAATCTTTTATGACCAACATTAGAACTATTCCCATTGGTTATCATAGAATTATTAGAAGAACACACGTTGTAATTGATTTGTTGAGATTTAGGAAAATTATTGACAATCCTGTTGGAAAGATTTGATGACGATGAAGAAGGTGGTGACGATGACGATGACGATGATGAAGAAGAAGAAGAAGATGACGATGAAGATGATGATGATGATGAAGATGAGGATGATGATGATGAACATGATAAAGACGAACGAATCATATTACTACTCAAACTATGATGATGACCTTGAGAAATAACGTTAGAGGATTCAACGTGTTGCTTATCAACCGAAGAAACCGACAATTCGTTCAATGATACGGCTGGTACTATCATTAACAAATTATTTCCATTCTTATCACAGGCGCCATGATGACTGACAGGATGTTGCTGTCTCTGTTGTTGTTGTTGGTGTTGGTGTTGGTGTTGGTGTTGGTGTTGGTTGAGATAATGCACTCTGTATTGCATTGTATTCTCATTGATCTGAAGCTTCTCTTGTTTCGTTAAATTATTCGAACACTTTGTCTGATAAGAATTTGATTTGGAAATACCATTATGATTGTTATTATTGTTATTATTATTATTATTATTGTTGTTGTTGTTGTTGTTATTGTTATTGTTGTTGTTGTTGTTAAAGTGTCCCTCGCATTTAACTCTGATGACGTCTTGAGTATGCAACATTCCATTTCGGTCCTGAGCATTCTGCCATTCGAGAACGTTGCTTAATAATCTTATGTATCTGTAAACAAATATTATTTTAAATAAATAAATAAACAATATATAAATATTTGATGAAAAATATAAATGAAGAAAAATATATATAATACAATTTTGTAAAGAGGTAAATTTATTGAAATTTTGCATTTGTATAAAAGATTAATTAAACACACACACACATTTATAGTTTATAATATTTATTGTTAAGTAATAATAATAATATTTAATAATAATAATATTATATTTGACAATTAATAAATTAAATAAATAAATACTTAAACAGTAATATTTTAATCAAAACTAGAATTGTAAGAAAAAAATTGTTGAAATCTGTTTAATGATTTTGATGTTTGTTTTGATTTTACTGTAATATTAGTACTTTTTTTTAATACTTTTTTAAATACTTAAAAGGGGTTTTATTGGTTTGTAATACCAACCTTATAGCCATCCTTAAAATTTCATTTTTGGATAACTTTTTATCAGGTGGGTGAGTTGGAACGAGCTTACGAAGTTCAGCAAAAGCACCGCTTACGTTCTGTTGTCTCCATCGTTCACGACTGTTAGTAAATAATTTTCTAACACCCACGTTTCCTATTCTAAGCGTGGGCGAACCTAATTGACCATTACCAGAAGATGGAATGCCGTCTAGCTATGAAATTATTGCCGATTATAATACAATTTGATCATAACTGATACAACACTAATTAATTTTTTTTATATATGTATGTCTACTTATGTTTAATAATAAAAAAACAATAAATATAAATACATTGAAACAATACAAAATGAAATTAAAAATAGGATGATTTTAAAACATGAGGAATAAATTAAATAGATAATATTTAACAAAAAGATAAAAATTGATATTACAAAGTATTATCTTATGAATAATTATGGTGTATTTCTTTTTTTTTTTCAATGAAATCATCCTATGATTGAAAAAAAAACAAAAATAATAAATAAAATAAAGTTTGACAAAAAAGACAAAAGTTGATATTAAAATAATTGCAGTATTTTTTGTACAGTCTTGGAAAAAAAAAATAGATAAGATAATAGGATAATTATTTATATATAATATTAAATAATAAGATAATAATTACTTTTTGTTAAATAAATAAATTTGGATTGAGAACAAAAATAAATCAAATAAAATTTAACACAAAAAAATAATATTTAATATTAAAATAATTATGGTGTATTTGTCTCATGGAAATCCTATGATTTGAAACGAGTGGAAAATAAAAAAAAAAATAAAAAAAAAAATAAAAAAATAAAACCTTACAAAAGAGATACGAAAAAATTGAATATGAAAATAATTATGGTGTATTTTTCTTATAGAAATGCCTAAAATTTGAAAAGCAAATGAAAAAAATAAAATAAAATGTTGACAAAAAAGATACGAAAAAATTAAATATGAAAATAATTATGGTGTATTTTGTCTTATGGAAAATCCTATGATTTGAAACGAATGGAAAATAAAAAAAAAATAAAAAAAAGTAAAATCTGACAAAAGAGATATTGTTAAACTTAATTATGGTGTATTTTTCTCACGGAATTAGCTCGATCTCGGCGACGTCTTCCCTGTTCTTCCTCCTCGTCGGTGTCATGGGAATAAAATTCATCAGAAAGGGTTGCTTCTTCTTCGGTATCTCTTGGTGTACCCGGCGAATCCCCCGGCTCTTCGACAAGTTCTCCTTCACCAGATAAAAATGATTCAGCAGGAGAACCATTGTCACTTTCCGTTGTTCCACCGTTACAACCATTGTACGTTAACATCGGCTGAAAATTAACAAATCTTTTCTTATTCCCTTATATATTTAATCAACTTACAAGATAATATCATCTATTTGTTATTTATTTTTATTTTAATTAATGATTATGCTAATTACGATTTATACTTTCTTTTGTTTCTTATTTAATTTTTTTTTAAAAAAGAAGGAAGAAATTAATCGTTTTTATTAAATTAAGTAATTATGTAATTTTAAACAGACGAGTAATTTTTTGTTTGTTAATTTAACACACATTTCGATTTTATTTAAATTTAATTTGATATAATAGTTAAATTAAAATATATTTATAATAAATAATAATAATAATAATAATATAATAAATGAAATTAATTTAAATTAAATCGAAATTTATTTTATATTTTTATTTTATATTTAAATATAAAATATGAAATATTGTAATTTATTAAATTTAATAATTTATTTTATATTTAAATATAAAATAGAAAATATTATAATTTATTAAAGTTATTAAATTTAGAAATTTAACAATTTATTTTCTATTTAAATATAAAATATGAAATATTGTAATTTATTAAATTTAGTAATTNACAATTTATTTTCTATTTAAATATAAAATATGAAATATTGTAATTTATGAAATTTAGTAATTTATTTTATATTTAAATATAAAATAGAAAATATTGTAATTTATTAAATTTACAGAAATTTATTTTCAATAAAAAATATAAAATAAATGTCTAAATTTTTTTATATTCCAAGTATCACCCACTTTCACACAATTTTTTATATTTCATATTTTAATTTTACTGATTTAATATTAGATTAAAAACAATTTTTCTTTTCTGTATGTAATTAATTGAAACATTGATAAAAATCAATGTAAAAAGCAACGTTAATTATTTCTTAATAGTCAAATTAAAACACCATAAACCATTACACATTAAACCACCCACACGAATATTTCAAAAGATAAGATTAGAAAATGAATAAGAATAAATTCAATAGTAAAGAACACTTTTGTAATATTATTCAAATATATACCAAAAATAATACACAAAAACACACACAAAAACACACACCACACACACAAATACAATTATTATATTTTCTATTAAACAAACACATTTTCAAAATGAACTCTCACAAATCTGTGTCCATTAAAAAAAAAAAACAAAATACAAAATCCTAATAAAATCATTCAAACAACAATAGTTAATAAATAATATCTTACCATATCGAATGAATAATCCTTCTTTAAAAAACAAACAAACAAACAAAAAATATTTAAAAAAATCTAACACCGAAATAAAACGAACAATAAATTGATTGTTTTTTCCAACAACAACAAAAACTAACTAACAAAACTATCAAATAATTTCATTAACAATTTTTCCAATAAATAATTTTACGATCACAATTGTTTAATAATTATATTGTTCACTAAAGTTATTCGATCCAAATAGGTGAAACTAAACGATTAGACTAATAGAAAGTGTGTGACACTCTGGTTTAACAGAACTCAGACTCAGACCCAGACCCAGACCCTTTGGTAAAATGAAATTTTGTATGGAAGGGCGGAGTTCTATTTCTCTCTCTCTCTCTCTCTCTCTCTCTCTCTCTCTTTCTCTCTCTCGTTCTCGTTCTCTTTCTCTCAGAGACACACACATATACACACATACTTTTCTATGTAAAATGATGAGCATGGGTGGAGCTGGTGTTTGGACCAGCCCATATCGTTCGCACACGCGTCCAACCAACCTCCCACTATCAAACCATCACCGGATCTCATTTGAAACGTTGTTGGTGTTAGTGTTGGTGTTAATGTTAGTGTTGGTGTTAGCTGGTGCTGCTGAGAAAAGAGAATCCGTGAAAAGGGAACATGTGACGTGATAAGAGACAAATCTTGTTCTTTCTCTTACTTTAAGTCTCTCCTTCCTCGTCCAATCAAATCGTTAGACGTTATTTATATATACATTGGTTTGTAGTTTATTATTAAATCGTTTTTTTTTTTTTTTTATAAGTTTTTTCATAACATTCAGCAAGTTTTGTTAAATGGTGTTCTTTCTATTGTTTCTTTAACCAATTTCAAAAAAAAAGGAGGAGGATTCTTCAATTCGACTGTAATTTTTGTTACTTTATGTTTGTTATTACTTCAAAACTGTCGATTGGGTAAACCGATCTTGATGATTCTTTTTTTTTTTATTTGAAAGCTTAGTACTTCCCGTGTAATCCCATTTCAATTTGGTCCAGTTTCTGACTAATGGCATCCATGAGAAAATAAGTCTTAAATTTGCATGATTAATTTTTGTTGAAATTCAAGGATGAATAATAAGAATTGGTTTAATATTAGGTATGTATTGTTTCATTTAAAGTATATATGTTTAAATAATTTTAAATGTATAAAGTAGAGAATGTATTAAATTATTTAAATAATTATTAAATAATTAAAGGAAATGTGTATATTGTTTTGTAAAAGCATGGAATGTTAATTGAAAGTACCGTCCTGTTCGAAATCTAACAGTAAACTGATTCAATCATTATTGTTCTTTATGAAAGTTATTTTATTGAATGTTGTTTATTTAATTCACCTGCATTCTTCTTATTCTTATTTGTTTAATATTTTTTTTCTTTTTTAAATTCAATGAACGAAATAATATGATATGTTATAATGAATAATAAGAGGTATATAATGTTTAATACAATATAATATACTTTGAAACAGTGTTAAATATAATTAGAGTACGTTAAAATATTAATAGAATTGTTAATTAATTTAAAAAAATGTATATTGTAATTTAAAAGTATGAATTTACCTTTCGATGAACCGTCGTGTTCGAAATCCAACGTTAGACTGAAGTGTTGTCCTCTATGAAAGTTATTTTATTAAATAATGTTTATATGACTTTACGAAGGTTGTATATGTAAAACGAACATAATATTCGTAATAAATAGTATTTAAAATTATAATATTATAATTTTAACATTATTTTAATTTATATACAATTATTTAAACTATAGTATATCAATTTTAAAGTAACTAAAGTAAAGTAATCAAATAACAAAGTATTTTATATTTGTATTCAAGAATGGTAATATGTATGCAATTTTTATTCAATGTATATACTTTAAAACTATCTTAAATATTCATAGAATGCATTAGAATATTAATATAATTATTAATTAATAAAATGGAATGTTTTTTATAGTTTAAATGTACGAAATATTAATTGGAAGTACCGTTGTGTTCGAAATCCAACATTAAACTGAAGTATTGTCTGACGTTTATATGACTTTCCGAAGGTTGCATATGTAAAACGAACATAATATTCCTAATAAATAGTATTTAAAATTATTACATTATAATTTTACCATTATTTTAATTTATATACAATTATTTAAACWATAGTACACACTTTTTTCAAAGTAACTAAAGTAAAGTAATCAAATAGCAAAGTATTTTATATTTGTATTCAAGTATGTTAATATGTATGCAATTTTTATTCAATGTATATACTTTAAAACTATCCTAAATATTTATAGAATNATCAAATAGCAAAGTATTTTATATTTGTATTCAAGTATGTTAATGTGTATGCAATTTTTATTCAATGTATATACTTTAAAACTATCCTAAATATTCATAGAATGCATTAGAATATTAATATAATTATTAATTAATCAAATGGAATGTTTTTTATAGTTTAAATGTACGAAATATTAATTGGAAGTACCGTCGTGTTCGAAATCCAACATTAAACTGAAGTATTGTCTGACGTTTATATGACTTTCCGAAGGTTGCATATGTAAAACGAACATAATATTCGTAATAAATAGTATTTAAGATTATAATATTATAATTTTAACATTATTTTAATTTATATGCAATTATTTAAACAAAAGTATATCAGTTTAAAAGTAACTAAAGTAAAGTATAATTAAATAGCAAAGTATTTTAAGTATGTTAATACATATATAATATTTATCCATTGTAAATATACTCTGAAAGAATCCTAAATATCCAACAGAATGTATTAAAGTACTAATATATAATTATTAATTAATTAAACAAACTATATATTATACCCTAAAAAAATGAATTTTTGTTTCAATGTACAGTCCTCTTCGAAATCCACCGTTAATGGATTTCTGCTGACTTTATTGTCATCCAAGAATATTTTTCTATTGATTCGTGTTTACATGACATTTCAAAAGGCTCAGCATGTGTTCAATGATCATAATATTCCTAATAATATTATATTATGCAACTAGTGAGAGAAGTTGTCGATTGCCCACGAGAGTGAAGTTGAGCGCACGAGCGAAGCAAGTGCGCTTAACTTCACTCGAGTGGACAATCGACAACTTCTCGCACTATTTGCTTATACCATTTTTTATTACGAATACGGGGACATATTTAGTACATAATTGGGGTCCAAGGGCAGAGTCCCAGCGAGGGGTTGCCACAAAACAATACTGAAAAAGTTAAAAAAATTTGAAGTAAATTTATTCACATAACAATAACAAATAATTCACATAAACAACGGAATATCGTTTTCCTCCAATTTCCGAGTGGAGTTTCCTTTCACCAAGATCGATAGCGTATTTAAACAGGAAATAAAGAACATTTCCTTATAAGAAAAGTCATATAAACCACATTGACTAAAAAAAACCTTCCTTGACAATCCCAAACATATCAGTCTTATCAGTCTAATGATAAATTTTGAGAATAACGGTACTCTTAATTAATTCTTTATACTTTTAAACAACAATATACATATTCCTTTCGATAAACGAGTTTCGAAGTATCTTTTCAAAAAAGAATGAGAGAGTCTCACAAAGTTAATCTAATTTAAGCTTATCTCTGCAACGTTCATATTATCGTCGGGGAAAAAAAAAACTAAAATAAAAAGGAAAAGAATTTTAACTGTTCTCCACCTCTTCCTGTTGTTTCTAATCATTTTTTATACTTTTTTTTTTTTTTTTGGAAATACCATGGAAATACACGTGCATTCAAGATGTGTCATATCACATGCACACACGTGAATAGACGTACGTTTGACAAAAAAAAAAAGATATAATAAAACAAATAGGAAAACAGTCGAAAGTATTTTCTAATCTAATCGTTATCTATGCATTGATTATTATTATTATTATTAATATTATTTTTATTTTAACCCATTCAACAAAACCACAACTTTTTTCGAACACGATGAACAGGAGTCCCATTTCGTTCTTCTTTTTTTTTTATTATATTGGTATGTTTAAAATGCCAAATTTTATTTTTTTTTATAACTTTAAAGATACTATTTACAGAAAAATAAAAAAAATTCTTATCTTGACGAATACTTTAGTCAAAATAACTGATAATAGTTCATTACCACGCATTCATTTGCACGCACGGTGTGCAAATGAATCTCCAATAGATTAAATAAATTTAAAAACATTAGTAATAATAATAAAATAATAAAAAATAATAACAAATAAAAATACTATTTATATATAAAAAAAAAAAAACAAATCTTATTTCAAGCCAATACTTTAGTCAAAATAACTGATAATAGTTCATTACCATTGCACACACGTTATTCAAATGAGTCTCAAATTAATTAAATAAATAAAAAAAAAAAAATACAAAATGAAAAAAATGAAACATAAATAATAAGAAAATAGAAAACATTTCTAAAAAAAAAAACAAAAATGAAAACGTTGCCACTTTAAACGCGAATTTGCTGCTCCCACGCAGATTGACCTAACCTTATGTTAGTAATAGCTTACGAATGAGCGTTACGCATCATCGAACAAAGATGTTATCACTTTAATCGGGTTCAACACGAGGACAGTTAGAATTTATCCTAGCGTAAAAACTATAATGATATACCCCCTCTATCTAACTTTACTTCTATGGTGGTATAACAAATCAAACTTTTTCGTGGTAGCCACCACACCACTTGACTCAGAAATCAAAAAGGGTCCTACGATTTTTTCTCAGCCCTTCTCACACCCATTCCTCCTCTTCTCCTGCCCCTTTCCCTTTCCCTTTTTCATCTCATCTCACCCCTTAATGTATATTAATCAAGGATTCTCTTGTATTTTTTTTTTTTTACACAGTTTACACATTGACTTCCTCTCCTTGAGGGGATTTGGCTAATAGAAATTTAATTGTTTCACAAATATCTTTTTTCCTTGAGTAGATAAAAAATGAAAGGAAGGAAGATAACAAAAAAATAAAAAGATTATTTGAATTAATTACAATAACTAATAAAAATTCAGTACAACATTGTTCCTGTCCAATGAACTTTAAAATTATTCAACCGATATTAATGAAATTTTTGTTTATTTTAATTATTTTTTATTGCTAATTGAAGGATTTATTAATTTATAGGTTATCTAGGTCTTTAGATACTGTAATTTGTCGATAGATGGTGCTGTATTACAATTCAATTATTTCAGGTTTTTTTTCTCAGATTTACATATGACACAACTAACCTTACTTTTTTATATTTTTTCGTAGTATTATTTTGTGTGTTATTATTTATTATATTTATTACAAATTTTGTGTTGTTTTATGCTTAATTTGAATTCCCCAAAATTATTAATGGATATTGATTTGACTTGCATTAAATAGTTGAAAATTATTTGATTAGCAAATAAATGATTGCGGATTTTGTCGATAGGTGGCTTTTAAAAATCAGCACTGAATTAGTTGCTAACCCAACTTAACATAAATTTGATTAAAATACAAATATTGGGATCTGTAGCACTTGAATACATACGCTATCTGGTGGCTAAATTCAAAATTAGATTAGATAGGTCAAATTGCTACGTTACACCCCTGCCAGGGATCCCAATATGTAAATAAAACGTAAAAATGTGTGACACATATGTAAATCTGTGTTTGAAATAATATTTTGTATTGATTTTGAATTAAATATAAATACACCAACCCTATAAAAAAAAAAGACAACTAGAGTCAAAATGTATCGTATCAAGGTTTCGTATTCATCCCCTTGCCCCTCTAAAAAAATAAGATCATTTTAAAGTCATTTAAATCCCAATGAATTATTTAATAGTACTAATAGTGGACCGCAGTTTTATTGATAACGTATAATGCACTGATCTGAAAATAATTCAAGAGACGTACGTTCGGCACGTGCGTGTGTCGGGTAATCATCCAAAAGGCGTCGCGTGTGCCGATGAAAAAAAAAAAATCTCCCATAAGAAGGGATTTTCAAATTCCCTTTAATATTATTTTATTTTTTTTTTTTTACTATAATTCGTCAAAAACCCATTCGAGTGATTGATACGATACAAATTGTTTATCAAAAATAAAAATAACTGAGATCATCGTATTAATTATTTGTGTATAAATAAATTAATAATACAAATATTTTTCTAACCTTTGACAAAGTGTCCCATAAGATCCATACGAACATGCATGAACGTAGTTTTCAAAATTGCAATCTTCTTCCGAAGAAGAATCCTCTTCCGTTTTGTGAATTTGAATCTGAAACAAAAAACGGAAATGACTGTATAAATGTGTGTTTGTAAAAAAAAAAAGTATGAATGTGAACGATAAAATATGTTCTTCCCTTTTGAAAAAAGAAAAAAAAAGAAAGAATCCACCCTACGTGCTTTTCACATCCAAACGGGGGTTGAACTATTTTGAACTGTGGTTTCCCACAACAGGGCTGCGTTAAACTTGTGGCTCAATTTGAACGCGTGACAATGAATAAAATTCGTAGCATTAAAATGTCGCGTAAGAATTGCTTATTTATCGAATAACTATTACTAATATTTATTTCTTTTTCTTATCTTTTTTACGTTTGTTCGAAAAGGGGAAAACGAAATATGAAACGAAACGTCATTTTCAAAAATGGCGTATGGCGTATGGCGTGTACGTTCAAACGAAACACATTAAATCACTGATCATAATTTATGATACTAACAACATTTGTCCATATACAGGGTGTATCAATAATTTTCAATTATAAACATAAAACAATGATTTAACATACATAATTTGTTCATAATACATAAATTATCTCAATAATTATGTATAATTCATCTTTTAAGGTTATAAAAATAAAATGAGTTTCACAATAATTTCTTGAATAAAGTTCAATTCTCTTTCCTCCTATTTCTCTTTTAATGCAACATAAAACACCCAACACTAAAAGAAAAATAAAATAGAAGGAATAAGATAAAAGATGATCAAATAAAAATAATAATAATCATGATTAGGTATGAAGTGAAAATCCTTGGAACGTGACGGGGAAATCAGAGGAAAGTTCTACGAAATAAGGGCGTGTCGATAGAAAAGAGGCGTGTCCCAAGTTGGTTTGCGCAGTGTCCCATGAACATCAGTGTGCGTTCGAACAGAATCCCCATACTGCTGGTATGGATTGTAGTACCAAGAAGAGTAGGATGAAAGATAGATAGAGAGAGAGAGAGAGAGAGAGAGAGAGAATATATCCCGAGCAAGAGGGGTATAAGGGTGAAATCAATTTTCGTTATCGTCGTCAACCAGACACCCCATATTAATTCCGTTAGCTGGTGTTTGCCTTTCTATGTGTGCCCCACCACTCTCTCTCTCTCTCTCTCTCTCTCTCTCTCTTTCTCTTACAACCAACAAATACTGGCCTTAGCTACTTCCAATTGAGATTTAAAAGATAATTACTATTATTATTATTATTACTGATTGTTTCACTATCTTAAATAATAATTATTTAATAATCAGCTGAGTTTATAGATAACATTCTGCCCTCAATTCATCAATTTGTTATACTACTTAAAATAATAATTATTATTATAATTATTACTATTAATAATAGTATAAGTAGTATAATATTATTATTATTATTACAATTTTAATAATCATACTAATAATAAAAAAATAGAACTGAATTTATTAGATAACATTTGACTTCAATTTATCAATATTAATGGTTACTCATTTGATTCACAAAATTTAAAAAGTACTTTTTTTAAGATCAATTCTACTTACAATGTATATCAATAAAAATAATAATAATAATAATAATAATAATACAATTAATTTAATGTTATTCGTATTTATATAAACTAGTTTCTTATTTAATTTCTTATTTTAAATAAAGAAAATTTAAATTCAAATTGACAGACGGCAGCCATACTTCTTTTACCCTGTACGTCATCGGCGCGCGAAATTCAAATTGAATTCTCAATGAATGTTCTTATCGTAGTAGACAATTGATAGAATTCTATGTAATTTTTCGTTATCTTAGATGATTATTCGGAACTATCTAAACATTTATAAATTATTAAATCATATTACGGAAACTTGATAGTTTTAATTATGCAATTATTTGATTCTCGGAATTTTATCATCTTTTTTTATCAATTAATCTTATTCCTCAATGTAATTCTTATCTTACGGAAAAAAAACATTTTTAATCTTATGTTAATTAATAATCAAATATTTTGTTTCAATATGCATCGTTCGTTCCTGTTTAAATAACAAATAAAAGTTTTTTTTATAGATTTAGTTTTGTTTAGTCAAAAAAAAAAAAACAAAAAAAAGAAACATTTGAATGTTGTATATAAAATTACAAAATAAATAGAAAAATTCACAAGAAAATGAAAACTATGAGTAAGTTATATTAATATATAATATAATATAATATAATATTAATATTTAAATATTAATAATAATAATAATCATTTGTATTTAATAATTACACAAGATTCCATAAAAGAGGAAATTCCAACGCAAACGGAAGTCAATCTTCGTCTTGGTTTACCATTGGCTGAAACACTATTTGTTTATGATCATGATGAAATAAAAAAATTATTAGGATTATTACCACCATTGAAATGTATATCTGAAGATCTTTGGATTTCACCAAGTGCACAATTGAACAAGAAAGTTTTAAGCTTACCAGAAAATAAAGATATAATTAAAGAATGTACACATTTAGGAATACTTGGTAATAATAAAACTATTAAATGTTATTTTTCAAATGAACACATACTTATACCTACTCTCTGTAAAGTCAAATATTTGTATAAAACAGCTTTAGGAAATGATCTGTTAAATAAATTCAAAATAGAAATTGAATCTAACGTAAGAAAAAATGTTGAAAATCAATTGATCGAAGACAAATATTTATGCGAAGCTGAAAAGCGTCATGCGATTAAAATGACTAAAGAAGAAATTCATACAATATGGCAGAAATATCTTTGTATCATGGAATGTGATATGCGTAAAGAATTACAGGTGAACTGAACAACAATTTCAATTTGTTTAACATGTTAATAAATAATAATAATAATAATAATAATAATAATAATAATATGATGATGACTCTGCTAACAGATTGAACTTGCAAAAGTTGTTTTTAAATGTAACAAAGAAATACAAAAAGCTGTAATACAACAACGCATTGAAATGACGCAACATATGATGAACAAAGTACGTAAAGAAATGTCTTACATGGTGGACGATCTTTACAATGAATTTGAACAAACTCGTAGATTACATATTGAAAATATAATAGCTGATGTTAATGAGATTTTAAGGTACTTTTCTTTTTAACAATATTCATTTTATTATAATGAATCTTGTGAGATTTCATTTAATTTTTACCTTACTTAGGAAAGAACGTATGAAGAACAATCAAAAAATAGAAAAATTAAAAAAGGAAAAAACAGAATCGTTGCATACTCAAAAAGCAAAACTTCAAATGAAAAATCTAACTAATGTCATGTATTTGCTTTGTCTTGAAAAATTACGTTGTAATTTGGAAAAACAGGAAATACAAAATCACTATGAGGTAATACAAACTGATACATATTTAATTTTACATACAATGATAATATTATCTATTTAAATGTTTATTTATTTGTAGAAGAAACTCTGTAATATGCAAAACCTAACAACGAATTTAAAGAAAATGTTGAATAGAGCTGAAGAAACTATTGAAACATATCAAAATGATAATAAATTGTTAAAAGACAAATATGATAATATTAATGAAGAATTTCATAAGTTTGTAACTTTTGTATTTAATTCTTTACCAAAACAAACTGAATTTGTATTACCTTTCGAATCAATTTGTTCCCAAACAACAAATGAATGAAAAAAAAAACAACTTGATAATTATTGAATTGTTAGAATAAAAAATTAATAAGTCAATAGATCATTGAAATTTTTTGGATTAGTTGTTTGACAATTTTGATACCAGTCTGGGTCACGTTGTAGACAAGATGCAGTACGTTGATAAAATTGTGACTGCATAATAGATTTTTTACCAAATTTACTAATAGAAGGTAAACTGTAATCTTTGAGACGCCATCCGTAAAGCCAATTGGTACAATCAGGAAAATAAAAACGATCTTCTGGTAATTTCTGTAATCTAAAGAAAAAACAAACAAAAAAATCAAACCCTTTTGTTTTGTTTAATCAATTCAATCAAATATTATAAATGAATTAAATTTAACCTTTTATGAAAATAATGATCTTTGTTAATAAAACTTTGAATTCCTTGTTCATAAAGAATATCACGTATTTCTCGTTCAATTGGTTTCATTATATTGAGATTTACAGAACCATCGATGATATTTGGTGATCTCCATGTCGTTGGCATGTATTTTTTACTTATCTGTAATAATACCAAAATACAAATGTCAATTACTAATTATACAAAATGTACATGTGAATGTAATGTGTTTATATAAAAGATCAATCGATACAAAACTTTTGGCTCAATTTTATAATCTTTTTTGGATGCTTCTTTTTCAAAACTTTTCAATTTCATTAGTGCTGTAGTCTTTGTAGTAATACCTAAATTATCTATCAATTTTTGTTGATTTTTTATAAACCATTTCATTCGTAAATATTCTTCTTTCCTGTAATTTTCTCTGTGAAATAACTGACATCGATTGTCGCACATACTGTATACATATATATATATATATATCTCGCTCACTTATACAAGAAATTTTCATTATTATAAATAATACAATTTAAAATACAATTATGTCAGAAAGTAAACTAAAATAATACTACTTATACATGTTTAAAACATATTCATAATATTGCGATGCTCTGATGTTTATAATTGATTAATTTTAAGGAATGAGGAACCGATAAAAAAATTATTTTTATACAAACGCATATACTTTGTAGAATAATATATTTACACTGTTAAAGAATTAATAGTTGTTGTTGTTGTTGTTGTTGTTTTCTTGCTGTATATTAATCAAATTGTGTATTTGTAAATTAACATTTTATTCATTTATGTTAATTAATAATACCAATGGTGATATATATACTCTATATATAGTTGTTGTTTTTTTTTTTTAATAATAATAATAAACTGTCAACTTTATAGATGCCCAAATGTTCATTTGAAATTAATTTAAAAATATATATCCAAGTAATTTATTCGCTATTGAACAAAAACTTGTACAGTCGATAATTTAAAAGTTGTGTCAAGACAAATAATACAAAAAAAAAAAAAGAAAAAGAAAAATACTCGATGTTTTTACAAACACTTGGGTTCGATTGATCTTAATTATATTTAATCTATAAAATATATTTTGAATATCGCTATACTGTTACTTACATTATTCGTCCAAATATATTTGAATTTAAGTGTATAACAGAACGCCGTTATTCACTTAAAAACAAACGTTGTGCAAATTTTAGATGCATGTTACACAAAAGAAATGTTTTCTAAAAAGAAACCTTTTTTTTTCCTGTTCTGTAAAATAAAATCCTTTAGTAGTAGCACTTACAAAAAAAGAACAAAAAAAAAATATATTACAAATAAATGATTAACTTTTAAAACTGACTTTGTGTTAATTAATGAACAGAAGGTATATATCTTTCTTTAATATATATAAATTAGGTGTCACGTTGTTTGTCCGTAATGAACTCCCAAACTACTGAACCGATTTTAATCAAATTTTGCACACTGTGTGCAGTTTCATCCAATTTGAAAGATAGGATATTTTATATATAAATATATACCAACTGAGCCTCGTTACAAACTGAGTCGCATGAAATATAAACTAAATATAAATATGTTATATGGTTGTTGTTGTTGTTAATACGTGCCGGCAAAAGAATACAGCAATATTTTGTATTATTGCGTTCTGTCTGTACTTCAGCATTGCTAGATGATATTTCCATTTTTCTTTTTTTTTTTTTTTTATTCCTCCCACATCCCCTGCTCACTAATTTATTATCGTTAAGTTGAATTTTTTTTTTTTTTTTTTTTTTTTTTGTATATACTTGACAGTATTTCTGAACATCAAATGGCCTAATCGATAACAATGCATAGAGAGTACTGTGTTCTATATTAGATATACGTATGGCGTGAAATATGAGTTTTCACATGATATTACTCCCTCTCAAAGTCAACATCAAATGACCCAAGTAATCACAGCCATAGGAAGCAATATTGCGCGCTAAATTTCAGGATTTATATGCATATACTGATTGATTTATATTACATCTGACTAAGGAGCATTTTATATCATTTGTACTTGGATAATCAAGATGAAACATACATAATGCTATACAACTAACAATTCCTCTGCTCCTATACTGCTCCTTTTATGCTGTACACACTTAATGTTATTAATGTATATTACTTATCTACACTTGCCTATAAAATAACCAATTTACAATCATTCCTAATTGGTCTAGGTTTTAATGTAGCAAAGCGTTTTATTTGACAATTTGAATGCAAGTTCAATTTAATTTAAAAAAAAAAAAAACTGTGTCGAGGAGGAGTGTTCATTTTTCATAAGAAAAAAAAAAATTAATTAAATCTTTTGTTCTTATAAAAAAAAAACATCATTGTAATCATCGAGTTAAAATTTTGAAATAAAAAAAAGAACACCTTGCTTGTAATTGTTATTTTGGTAAAACGTCGTCTATAAAACTTTTGACTATCATCTATGTCAAATTTTGAACACTATGCGTATCATTTTATTTTCTTTTTTTTTTTTTTTTAGGATTACCTTGCATCCACTCTATCATCGCTTTTCTTCTTAAAATTGTTATGTTTATATATATATTACAGTTTTAATATAGGCTGCGTTCTTACATATACATTTTATAAATGTATGCTTTAATTTAACTATTCAAGTGGAGTATGTGCATTTTGATAATATACCATTTATGCTAAATATTAATTAAAGAATTTAACTCTTTTTTTTTCTTGTTTGTTTGTTTTGCTTTGTTTTGTTTACTAAAAACATTTTATTATCTCTAATTTTTTTTTTTAATTAATTAAATCATTTATCTTAATACAATTAATTACCCAAATAAAAATTGGGTACTTATCTCAAAAAAACATGTATTAATGTGCATTGCATAATTTATACATATTATAAATAATAAACGAATAAATGAGAGAGAGAGAGAGAGAGAGAAGTCAGTTATATATATATATACACAAAAGAAAATCAAATTCTAAAAGCAAATGAAACTCATTTCATGAATATAATTATTATATAAAATGAAAGATTAATACTCCATCTGAACAGTAGAATAATAGAAGAAATACAACTCTTGATATCTTTTTTATACAAATAGTATGGCAGCCAGAAACATAATATTTATCAAAACATTTCGTAGATTATTATTATTATTATTATAATTATTATTATTATAATTATTATTATTATTATTATTCGTTATAAAGTGTAATAATAATATTTACTAGAGTTTAATGCACGGTGTTCAAAATATTTATAAAATGTTTCCAATCCAAAAGTTCCTGCTTTAGATAAAACAATTAATAAATATAAATTCTTCGAGAACAGTCAACACAACTGTTGCAAATTTTCAATCCATTCGATTTACAATTAGAAGTGAATAATAATTGCTAAAAAAAATAATAATTCATAATTTGTGTTTATCTGTTAAGAGTGTTGTTACATATGTTAATAAAGAATTCATTAATATCATTTGTTGTTTTTAGTAAAGTCTGTTCATTTTGACTAATATTAGTAATATTTTAATATGTCAGTTTGTTTTTTTTTTTCTTTTTTTCAGTCCATGTTGATAGTGATAAACACATAATAATAATAATATAATGCATTAATGACAAGTGATTTCATAATATACTATTTACTAATAATAAACTCTTGAAATATATAAAAATAGGCTCTCATTTGGCCTTATTTGAACAGTTTATCAATATAAACAGTTGTTTTTTGTTGTATTATCAAACATACCTAACTTCTCGCTTTTATTAATACACCAGCAGTGTGAGCATTATTCTGAAAGTATAATCCTGTTCCTTGAAAACTACTACTTCTGGAGGTAGATAGTTGACTTTGATTTAAACCACTTAATGAATTTTCATCCACGTCTTTGCTAAGTCCATCTTCTTGTTTGCTTCTCAATATATATTTAAAAAATTCGTATCTAAAGAAGAATCAGAATTAAACGTAACAATGAAAAGATATCATTAATAACAAATAACATGTGGAAATAAATAAATAAATAAATAAATAAATCATTCTCTTACGTCGTCCAACAAATAGCAGTGGCTGGCATTTGATAAAGAACACGAGCATTCATTCCACGACAAAATCCTTTGATACCACCCAACCTGTAAACTTCTTTAACAGCGTCAATCATACCTTTTGCTTTGACATTACCTTGTTGGGTATTCAATAATGTCTTACAAACATCCAATGGTGTTGTCAACCCAGCAGCTATAGCTCCAGCCATAGCACCTGTTATATTCAATATACAAATTAATATCTTATCTAATATAAATATACAATATATAATAACAATAACAATATGTATATATGTACCAGAAATCATATGTGCTTGAGGATTATAAGAATGATTTGGATTTGTTAAAGATTGTGCTAACTCATAAGACATAAAATGAATGCTTTGGAAAGGCACGTTCATAGCCAACTGAGTTGTGTAACTTCTGTAGAACGCGCGTATACCTTCTCTTTTATATACAAGTTTTATACAGCTGATAACATTTCTATAAGGAGAATTATACATTTGCAATCGTTGTTTAATCACTGTAACAAGTATAATAGAACGTGTTAGGTAAATTATCTCATAGACAATAAAAAGAACATAGTTACACTCTCTCTTATATTTGTATATATAACTAACCTTCTGCTGGATTCATAACACCATCATGAAGAATTGTCGATACACAACCAGCTGCACCATACACGAAATGATTGAATTGTGGTTTAGCACTCATAAATTTATCTTTCAAAAATTCATAGCATGAAAAGTACAAAGCATGTGCTGGGCCAGCTCCTGCAACAACTGCTCCCATTCCTCGAAATGGCCTTAACAAACCTTCATTTCGCATCATTTGAAGGAGAACGTTTCCTACTCCTCCTCCTCCTCCTCCTCCACCTGGGCCTGGAATCAAGGCCTGCATTCTGGTCTACAAAATATTCATTTATTATGAATACATGTCCATATTAATTCTTTTTAAATTATACATTTATTCATTCATTCATTCATTCGTTTGATTGAAAATGCAAATTTTAAAATAACGTAACAATGTACATATATAATACTTAATGTCGAATGAAGAGTTTCGAATAATCATGACTGACAAATACGTGCAAGTAGTAGTTATCAATTCTTCATTCGAATAATAAAACATTTGAACAAGTTTCTCTTTGACTTACTATGTTAAATAATGTATAATTCACTTTGAAGTAATTTTTAATGAAATATCATTGATTAATATATATCTATGGAATTATTTATAAACATAATCAACAAATGAATTAGAATAATTGTCAAAATTAATTACAAATACATATTATAACCTATTTGTTGTTACAAACAATAACATAATGCAAAATATCTGTTTTTAACCTATATAATAACTAATTTTGTGTTTTTCAAATGATATGTAATATTATACATTATTAATGAATGTTATCTCAAATATTATCACTGATAGTTAAACAAACTTTTGAAGCAGAGATTGTAAGCTGTAAACCAGATCAGAAATGGAATTATTTATAAACATAACCAACAAATGAATTAGAATAATTGTCAAAATGAATTACAAATACATATTATAACCTATTTGTTGTTATAAACAATAACATAATGAATAATATCTGTTTTTAACCTATATAATAACTAATTCTGTGTTTTTCAAATAATATGTAATATTATACATTATTAATGAATGTTATCTCAAATATTATCACTGATGGTTAAACAAACTTGAAGCAGAGATTGTAAGCTGTAAACCAGATCAGAAATAGATCTACTGCAATAGACACTGACAGACAGGCTATGTTACATAATGATTACTGGGTTGATAGACCCTCAATGAAACTCTTATATATCTTATCATTATAATTCATCATTCAAAAATTATCTTAGATGTATAATTGTACATAAATATTTTTTTTTAAGCAATATAACCAAATTACAATGGATGACTTGAATAATATAAAATATGAAAAAACAATATGTAAATAAGTTTGATTAACATATTCAATTGAATGAATTCTAAGTTAAAATATATGCACAATTTAATGAAATATTTATATGTTATTTGTTTACAAACAATAAGTAATATAAATAATCAATTGAAATTGTTTGTTATTTGTTGAAAGCAAATAATAGGTTAAATGGAAATTTTTGCAATATAATAATATTAATTATTAACTTTATATACATACATATGCAAGAAATCGAAAGTATTTTCTTTTTTTTTTTTTTTTTTACCTTACATAATCTACTATACGTAATGAGAATTTAAAAAAAAAAATGGTAATTCAAATTACAATGCATACATACCATGCATAATTATAATATCTTTATTTCATGACAATAAATTTCAGCAAAATAAAAAGGTAGGAAAAAGTTGACTTTTGTAAGACGTCTGATGGAATGTTTTATCATATTTAATTAATGATAACGTTGGGAAACATTTTAAAATAAGTTCTAAGAAAATATGGAATTTAGAACGTTATGAGAAAACACATGTTTGCATAACGACACTTTGTTACAATTATATTTTTGGTTTTTTTGTTTTTTATTTAAATACAATTATAATCAAGATAAATACTAATGCATAATGAAAAGTCTTTTAAGTTATCTATGTTCAATTAATCTTCTTACATGACAAGTGTATCAAAAGCCGAGATAGTAAAGAGTACATACATTGAGGTTATGTAAAAGATAGTCTATGAGAGGGAAAAAACGTGGAGCAAATATACAATTACTTTACCTTGACACTGTCAACTGGATACATGATACAATGTTCCATGATTCCAGCCAAAGCACCGGCCGTCATGTTAACACCCACCGACGTAGTGGGCAAGCTTTCGTAATCTTCAATATTCATATTGTTCAAATGCAAATATCAAACCACGATGATCTTTCCTGAGCTTTTCGGTCGTGCCGCGGTATTACCGCACTATCCACTGAATCTGCTCTCCCTCTTCGTCTCTTTTTCTCTCCCTCTCGTCCTCTTCTCCCTCTTTAACTATTTCTTTCTTTCTTTCTCTCTCTCTCATACACACACACACACACACACAGCAGACACACACACTCTCTCTCTCTCTCTCTTTTCTCTCTTATACTTTTCTTTCTCTTTTATACGCGCGCACAAATTCGTTCACTCGTGTTGATACTTGTTTTCTTTGTCCACCTCGTTCTTCTAACAATAAAATTTAAGAAACGATAAATGAATTGAGTTGTCCATAGTAACACTATACACACATAGAGATGATTTAAACCTTGAAAAACGTGGACACTTTTCGCGCGTTATCTTACGACAATCCTGCTTTTAGTCGGCCTTGCCATTGTCGATTCTGTGGGGGAGAAAAAATAAAGCTAATATGTCGTAGAAAATTGTCGATAAATTAAATAATCGATTCGTATAACTCGTATTCGTTGATCGTATCTTAATAAAAAAAACCCCCACGTCAAAATCGAAAAGGTTCTTCTACCCTTGAATATTCGAATTCGCTGTTACAATTCCCTCTTCGTGCATCGAAATCATAGAAAAATTTATGAAGCATTTAATAAATCAATATAAATGTATGATAAGAATAGAAAGGAATATTTCAACGAAAATTATTCCCCCAAAAAAAGTCGATAGATCTGACGTTAACTCTACCTCCTTCGTAACACTCAACGCGATCATAAATGATCGCTGACCGTCAAGTTAGTGAGGTTAGGTAGGAGCACGTGCCACGCATGCGTCGTGCTCGACCACGTGGTCGTGACACGTGAGCCATCAATGATAGGAAAAGAGAAGGAAAATCAAAATGGTGGCAGAGATTCTTCTCTCTCTCTCTCTCACACACACTCTCTTCATAGTTACGTATATATATATATATATATATATATATATATATATATATATACATACATAGTATATACGTATATACTACATAATATACATGAATAGCAAAGGAAGAACATGTGCTCCGTTATATATGTATATTTTTTATCCTTCTTGACTTCTTTAAAGGATAGAGGACGCTTGTCCGTGTCTACAAACTCGCGGTCAATAACTGCGTCAAATTCTTTTCTAATTCCATTACTTTTGATAAATTAATTTTTATTGTCGAATCCTGCTTGTTTCTTTATATAGTATAAGAGAGACATGTATATATATGAGGTATATATATATATATATATGCTATTCTTTTTCGTAATCAATCGTAACTACCGGTAATCAAAGACGCTTATTATCCAATCCAACGATTTGTCTGACTCATATTAGAAGCAAACAAATGGCGTAATAGGGAATATATTTTCATTTGGAAAAACCTACGAAGTCATTGTGCATACATTTTTTATGATGAAATTAAATTAATTTTTTTATGTCCTTTCTCTTTTTAGTTTAGTCATTGTGTCGTGTTATTTTTGTCTTTCTTTTGAACAACGTATTGAAATTTTGAATATATATTCTTATCGTTTTATCGTATAAAATATACACAATTATAAATTTTATTAAATCTTTGAATCCTGTTCTTAAAATAGTTGCTTATTAATACTGTCTATATGAATCTATCTATAATGATCAAATATTATGTAATATTCTTCTTCGAAACCACAAGAACGACGTATCGAAATGTGATACGTTTCTCTGATTAATTGTTTTACTTTTACTATTTACTGATAAGATTACATTTAAAATGATATTTAATAATTGTACATTGCTGCTGGATAATATATATCATCAAATATATATACAATTAAAGATTTACGTTGAATTATTGATAATATAAACACAAGGGCATCATGCGTGTATGTCACTGACAAGAAGACGGTGCGATCGTCGCCCCACCAACTTATTTCAAATTAGCTAGTACCGCTAGATGACAGCACATATTACCAGTCGGTAAGATGAAGTAATAGCTAGTACCGCTAGTTGGAGACACATGTTTTACCGGTCGGTAAAATAAAATAACAGTTATTACCGCTAGATGGCGAAACATATTTTACCTGTCGGTAATAAAATACAGATTTTACAATATATTTATGTTAAATAATTAAAAATTAATGTAAATGATTTTTTATATAATAAAAATAAATGTATCTTAACAGTATTATAATATTTGTTTCTTCCTTAAACAAGATTATTATTATTATTATTATCTAGATTATTTTATGTCACTGCAGCTGCATTCTACTTGCATAATAATTTACAGGGAATTTTTACAAAGACACGAGTTCATACAAATATATTATGAAGAAATATTTCTGAAGAATAATATAATATTTATGTTTTACAAATATCAACTTATTACATTTACCATTTTACAATTTATGATTTTGATTATTTCTTGACACCAGCAGCTGCATTCTATTCGCATAATAATTCACATGTAATCTCTACAAAGTAGATATATTAATTTTTCATATACAAATACATAATTTATTATATAATGCATTTTTTATTCGCATTGAATATAAATTTATAAAAGGTTAATTAGATGACAGTTAATATTCCATTTAATATTATTCATATATATTAAGCCTAAATCAATATAATTTATATTCAATATACGAAACAACAGCTAGAATATAACAATTACCAATTTCAAAACTTTTCCGTCCTTTTTTTCTTCTTTTCTTTTTATTTTATTTTACTTCACTCATTCAGAAATGTACGGTTTTGACCCTTTTTTGCTTTGAGCGCCGGATATATCCGACATCTGCGAGTACGAAAGGGTTAATGTTATTAATATTATTATTATTTACATAGATATATTATTAAGATTGAAATGTTAATAATTTCTAGTAAGACAATTTTCACGTACACACACATGTATATATATATATATATATATATATATATATATATATATAGTTAAGTATATCATAGGAATAAAAAGATGGATAGTTTGATTGCATATAGAAAATTCGCTTTATTTCATGAGCGATTATGTTAATAATAAGAAACATTATAAATTTTGGAAGTGACTATTGATTTATAAATTGGAATGAATAATAATAGCTGATTAATTTGAAAAAAGATGTACAATTGTAATGAAATATTTGAATTATATGTATATATATGTATATATATACATATACATATAATATTTGTACAACTTACAAATATACAGTATTAATAATATAGTTATTGTAGAAATAGTACATAGATCAACTCCACAAAATATGGCATTTAAAACATGATTCGGTTCGCCGTTATTAATGTTCATCAATTAACTAATAATTGTTATCACAGCGAATCTTACAAATCATTTAGATATTATTATATGTTTTAATAATTCGATTAAAAAAGGTATTGTTTTTTTCGTATCTACTATTATTACTTTGCTCCTTCAATAACTTATGTTATTATTATATTTTGTTGTTGTTGTACAATTAGTAAAATAACACGATTGATTATAACGATAAGTAAAATACATTTTTACTCTTGTTTCTCTATAATATTATATACTATATATATATATATATTTATTTATTTGTTTTAAGTATATAAAAAAAAAAAAAAATAATAATAGAAATTATCATTTCTTTCAAAACGTACCGTTGTAATTGTATTTTTTGTTATTTTTCTGGTAATTATTGCTTTAAAATAAAATGACTTTTTTTTATACAAATGTATACACATAATGCGATAAGCATGTAAAACCTTTGTAGAAAGTTTTGATGAGCATTATCGTCTCTAACAATCAGATATGCAAATATTGAAAAATATACAAATTTTTGTTTTTCTACGTAGCTCGAAGTTAATTAAATATTATTTTATTTCAATGCAATTGTGCTATGCAATTCTTTCTTTGTAATATGAAATTATTAAATAAATCAATATTTAAAACATTCATACTTATTTATACAATAAATACATAGTCCTAAATAACAAAATAGTCTAAAATATATCTAAGGCTTCAGTATTTGTTGTCATTTCCAATTTTCTGATACAGATGATTATAATAATAATAATAATAATAATAACAATACGTAATAATGTAATTTTAAACATAAACCTAACAATTTTGTCTAAGTTAATCAGCCATATTGGAATAGATTGTAAAACATTTGATGTTTTATGTTTTAAATATATATATATATATATCATGATTATATATTAAAAAAATAAAATATATCTTACAATTCTGCATTATACAGAAGTTACAATATGATTCAACATCTGAAGCCATGAGTTACTAGCTACACTTGATTAAATCTTCTACTCCGACGAGAAGAACTTGAAAACAATGGACGTGGTTTATACAAGTCATCGCTTGAATATCGTTGACTGCTTCTGTTTCGACTGTAATTTTTAATTAAACGTCGTGAAATATGATAATAATCATCATTTTCACTATTTGTAAAAAATGCGACAAATATCAAGGTATTACCTTTTTTCTTCTTTCATTATATTAGACGATGGAATTTTTTCGCTAGTTGCTGATACATCACTTTCTGGGCTCAATGGCATTACAAAATTTTCTCCATTTAATAAACTTTGCGATATGCAAGGATTTGCATGAAGTCTTTGCTTTTTCGAAGCAATCATTTTTCTTTTTTTCATAGCATTTAAAGGATTATCATTTGGCATTGATATTTTCAGACCATCATTATTGTTATTTGAATTATGGAGTAGTATGTCTGTTAATGGACTACCTGAATGTTTTCTTTTTGGCATTGGTGGGGCCATTGTTTTTGAACCAGACGATACTACTATCTGACCACCTAGTCCTTCTATTATTTCTTCTAGAGTATTACCTCCAACCATTTCTAATGAATGAAAAAAACTAAGAAATCTATCCGATTTTTTGTTATCAAGTTTGAAATATCTACAATCTTCATAATCATCATTAACTTTTGGTACAAATTCATTCTTGGAAGACTGTGCATTAGCTTGTCCAGGCAATTGTTCATCGAGTTCATTATATTCTGTAATATCTCTGCTAGGAGATGATTTTGCTTGTTCAAACTCCTCATTGTCATTATTTCTATCGTTGCTTATTACACTGTGTTCTACGCTAATATTCGTGTCACTTGTACTTATTTGATTTCTTACTTTATTACTATTTTTAGTAATAGTATTTATTGACTTTATTTTTTCTATACGTTGACTTGCATCAAGAAATGTTTCAGATGTTTCTACTGTATCATTTGTTTTCATTTCTAAACTGTCTTTACTACTACTACTACTACTACTACTACTACAATTACTTGAAGCTGAATCATCTTTACAAGTTTTATTCATCGGTAGAGCCTGAGATTCTGCATCATCGTCTTGTTGTTGCAATTTTGTATGACATATTGCTTCATCTAAGGATTGTTTTATACACAATTCCAAAGCAGATAGTTTTGGTATCTTTTTAGGTTGTTTTGGTACCACGTTACCATCTGTATCATGAAGTTCACCTTCTAACAATATCATTGAACGTTGTTCTAATGTTAAATTCATTTGACGATCTGGGTAAGGTTCTTCGTATTCTTCATCTCGTACTTCGATTATTTGAACACGTTCTTCATCAGGAACAGCAGTCAAATCATCTCCTCCACTGTTCTCTAACTTTAAACACAGCTCAGTTTTTTGATCAACTTTCTTCTCTATTTTTTTATCATCTTTCTGCTTTAATTTTTCCATTTGTTTTCTTATTTTCATTAATTTTTTAGCTTCGTGTATGTTCTTTGCAAATTTAGGTTTCTTCAGTTTCATTTCGCTCGATGAATTTAAATCATTTTCATCTAACAATGGTCTTTTTTTTAATGGTAAATTATTCTCGTTTGATTGTGTTTCTGTTAATTGAACATCTTCAAAACTATTGTCAGGATCAAAGGAAGATTCTGTATCGGTGAGATTTATATTATCTTTATTTATGTCATCGTAATTTTCATTTTGCAATTGTAATTTCATTTTATTTATCTCTGTTTCACCTATGCTATCTGATGTTTCGCTGCTTGAGTTACTCATATGACTGGTATCTTTAGTTAATCCAGAAGAACTTGATTTACTGGTAGTAGCATTAGAACTAGAAGTACTAGATTGTGAACTTTTACTATTAGATCCATTAGAACCATCTCTGTCAGTAGAACGACGATCATTTGAATTTTTTCGTAGACTAGAATGGTCATCCTTTGTTTTTGATTTCTTATCGTCTCTCCTTTTCTTATCCTTACTTTGAGCATCACTTTTAGAATCTTTTTTCGTAATATCTACAGATTTGTCTGATGTTTTATTACTTTGTACTTGTGTACGTACATCTTTCTTACAATTTTTATCGCTACTAATTTTAATATCTTTTTTTATTTCCATTTTTTCATCCTTACCACCATTCTTCGACATTTTCTTTAAATCACTTTTTTCTGATTTACTCGAAGATTCCGTTTTCATGACGTTACTTTTATCTTTAATATCCTTCGAACTACGTTCATCACGTTTCGTTTTGTCCTTAGATTCAGATTTTTTGTCTTTAATATCTGATATTTTGTCAGACGATCCTTTGTTGATTTTGTTTTCATGACGACTTTTGTCATCGTGACTTTTGGAAGTAGAACTTCTGTGTTCTTTCTTGTAAGATTTCTTATCCTTGCTTGAATCCTTTTTATCTCTCGATTCTTTATTGGATTTAACATTGTCCTTATTTAATTTTTCCTTTTCAGTTAATTCTTTCTTCTCTCTGAGTTCTCGAATTTTTTCTTTATAAAGATCTTTCAAATCTTTTGATTCCTTGTTCGTATTACTTTCCTTTTTATCCATTTCCTTAACTTTATCTTCTTTCATTTTATTGACATTATCTGTAACAGTATCTTTGTTATCTTTCACTTTGTCAACTGTATCCTTTGACTGACTAGGTTTATCCTTAACCTTACCTTTAATATGTTTATCATGTTTGGAACTGCTATGACTACTACTACTACTACTCTGCTTCTTTTTCTCATTATCTTTTTCCTTACATTTTGTCTCCTTCGAACAGATTTTGTCTTTAGATTTAGATTTGGATATTTCACTATCTTTATGTTTATCTTTAGATATTTTACTGTCGTATTTATCTTTTGTACTATTGTCCGTGGCATCGCTCGAATTTTCCTTAGATGGTAAATTGAGTTTAATACTTTTTGTTGTATCTTTTGTATCTTTCAAATCATTCCCACTTTCTTTACATTTTTTCGATTCGACGATATTTTTATTATTTTTATTCTTAAAAGATTCAAATTCTCTAAGAGCACGAAAGTTATCTTTTGCAGTTTTAATTTCACATTTATCTTTAACGAGTTCTTCTTTAATGCCATCGTGTATTGGTGTTGAAGCATGATTAGATAATCCAAAATCAGTTACTATTGATAATCTTGAATCTGAGGAAACTTTACTAAGTTGTGAATCTTGATTACTGCAATCATAATTATCCTGTGATACCTCGTTGGAGAAATTAGGACTTCTTGATCTATGACTTGTTAATTCAGATATACCAGATAAATGTGAATCATTAGATATATTAGATTCATTTAAATTCATAATATCTATCGGTTCAAAGGTTGGACTATCCTCTTCTTCCTCTTCAACTTTGTCATCTGATTTTCCAGATGTATTTAAATTTACATTACTAACAGCAGTCTTATTAAAATCAATACACTCTTCTCCCAATACCTTTTCTTCCGAAGAAGTATGACCATTCTCCTCGGATACTTGCTCTTTACTTCTTTCCAAATATTTTTCAACGATTTCTAACTTTTGTTCATCGAGTGATTGTTCAGATTTGTCATCTGGTTTAACAACAATATCATCTATTGCATCTACAGATTCAAGTGACACATCTTTCAAACTGTTCTTATCAGATTCTGGTGAAACTGGATCTAAATCTTTAGGTAATAAATCTTTCAATCCACAAGCACTAGATTTTTCTTTCATTTTTGGCCTTTCCAAACCCAAAAACTTATAAACGACGTCCTCTATTTGTGGCATGAATACAGAAAATACTTTTGGATTGACCACTTGATCAACGATACGTTCAACTCCAACATCTAAATATGGTGCTTCGTGTATATGTTTACGCAATGTTTCTCTAACTTGATTTTTATTAAGTTCTGGTTTCCACTGTTGTTTGTCGAGAAATGAATTAACAGATCCCTCAACTCTTGTACGTAGATTTTGATATGCAGGCTATGACAGATAACATGCCATTAATTATTGTTTAACAACATTTAAATGAACATTTACATAAACGTCATTTCAACTACAATAATTAATGAAACATATGTAAATATAAATGATAATAATATTATACCTTTGTATCAACATCAGCTATGCATTCTTTACGAAATTGATCAAAAATACCCTGCGATTTAACTTCACCAACAATACGATCGACAAGATGTGGATCACCTGCCAATAAAGTACTTGACAATCCTAACTCCATGATTAATGTTATTACAGTTGTAACAAATATTCTTCTATTACAATGAAATAGACCAATTTTCCATCAGAATCTATTCGTGAAACTGTGCGCGTCCATATTTGTTTGCAACTATGCAGAAGCAGTACTGCCAACTAATACATTTATTCGCTACCAACTTTATAACACAATTCTCTATTACCCTAACATAATTTTTATATTTGTATTTATTTTTCAAATAATAATAATAGATTTGAAGCATATTGAATGCTTTTTTTTTTTTAGAAAAACTATGAAGTTTTATTCGCTCATTTGACTTTTTATGTTTTTATACGTCTCTTACAATTATTCTTAAAATATTATTTTTTAATTATATGTGGTATATATTTTTTTATAATATAAGATCATATCACAAATATACATATACACAATGCATACTTACATATTACATGAGTTTGTAAATATCGAGTTAAATTAAATACTACTTATACCACATTTTTCTATCGTTTCAAGCAACGATTGAAGGTTAGTTTCAAAAAGTTCACACCTTATTGGCATTTCTAATGAATAGAATGGATTCTTGAGTGCATAATCAGCATAAAGTTCATAGACTTTTTTAGTCAATATTTCCATTCCTGACTGCGATGGCTCAGCCACTATCATAAATTTAATTCCAGTTAATGTTTGATAGCAGTACAAACGAAACGTGTCAGCTTCTAGAATTTCAATTCCAGAACATCGAGGTTCTGGACTCAATTGACTGGCTATCGCAAACAGAGGATAAAACATAGATGCTAGAAAAATTTTCTCATTAGTAGTCATCTTTGCACGACTAAACTTTAACGTTATGGGAAAATTTTCCTGTTTATTTAACAGTTCCAACACGTCTCTTCCATCTTCCAATTCGTTACCAATAACAGGACTACCATTTACTGCAGTTAACATATGTCCTACTGTATTAAAAATATTTTACTTATTAAATAAAATATAATATGTCAATAAAATAATGTAATAATAATAATAATAATAATAGATAATCATTTACCATTTATACCATCTTTTTGACCAAAAGACACGACTATCTTTTTATTTTCATAATTTAATTTAATATCTAACGGATAATTAAATGTTTTCTCATTTTCTATTTTGGGAATATTATGATCATGGTTAAAAATTAAACCTCCTGATTTAGATACGATATAAACACCGTATATCACCATCTTTTAAACAATTTAAGGTTATGTAATCTCACAGTATAACAGATCAGCTGTTTAGTCAAATTACTAACGTCCTAACCTATCACTGTCACTATTTGAAATTTATTTTTCTACGTTGGCACCATTTGTTTAGTGATTTTTACTCTTTGTTTTTCCTATTGTACACAAATGTATCAAAACATGTATTCTTAGTAGACGTTTTCGCAGAAAATGTTTGAAAAACTGTTTAAGAAACCTAATTAAAAGTTTTTCAATTAATTATAATAATCATTAATAATTTCATGTTAATAATTTTATAAGGTACCTAATTACATATTTATATTATTTACTATACAACTTTCTGTTAAATTTAATAATTAAATTGAAAGATAATGTGTGTGTCATACATAATTACATCATTGTATTATTTAAATTTGTAAAATGAAATTAATTAATATGAATTATACTTAATTATGTCATTATGTATATTAAATAATATTGCAGGATCAATATGACACGTAAATGTGCGATATGTAAGGAATCAAATTATAAAAATACTCGTAGTTTTTTCTCAGCTCCAAAGAATCCAGAATTACGTAGAAAATGGCAAGAAGCAATTGATATTGACGATTATTCTGTCAATGATTTTTTTTACGTTTGCAGTAAACATTTTCGTAAACGGGATATCATCACGCATTGGGTCAGCGGATCTCCACCACACGTTATTTCTGTAAGATATCACTTTGCAAACATTGTATTTATTTATAAAAATGAATTTAACTTTAATCATTTTGTATTATTTCAGATAAAATATAAAAAATGTAGATTAAGACCAGGTGCAGTACCTACTAGAAATATTCATCCACAATTGAAAGATAACAAAGTTAATAACATACAAAATCATTTGTATGAATTTTTACAGTTTAAACCTGATAGTTTTCTTACATCTGACAAAGAAGACATTGTAAATACGATTAATGAATGTACTGAGTTTAAAAATCATAAACATGAAAATGTTGTTAATCAATCAAAACAAATGGAACAATCATCGGAGGATGAATCAAATAAAAACACGTCTGTGGATGATTATAAAACACAATTAAGATTATCTTCTAATAGAAATAATAAACATAGAAAGACAATGCTTAGAGATTATAATAATTTAGAATTACAAAATACAGATAATGATATGAGAAAAATGAAACATAAAGAAAATATCAATTACGATCAACTTTCTCAAGTAAAATTAGATAGAAGTGTAAATAATTCTTCGTATGTTTCTCATTGTTCTGAAGAGGATGAAACATCAGCGGAAAGGTGGGACAATTCAAAAGTTAATACCAAAAATTCAATCTTTCCAAAATGTCTAGATAATACTCTAAATAATAGAATTGTATGTATAAAAGAACAATCGTTAAATATTGTCAATAAATATGATGATTCTATGTATGATAATAAAGGAAAAAAGGAATTTTTGTTTGAAGACATATTGGAAATGTGTTTTGAAATTACATTGCCACGTGGTTGGTCGTGCAATGTAGCTTCTAAAGGACATGCTACAACAATTGTATATTTAAATATGGCAATGACGAAAGATGGTATACCTTTTTTGGTTAAACAAGTATTCGTAAAGACTGATATGATGTTACGATGTAGCGTTTTTAATAAAGAAATTGATCCAATAATGTACAATCTTATCAAAGAAAATAAAGATAATAAAGTGCAATGCTTGTTAGACATTGAAGAACTTATAAATAAATTTCATTTAAGAATTATCTGCGAAGGTATGTTTTTTTAATAATATATACAAAATAGTTTTAACAATATATATGTATATATTAATCTTATTGTTTATCTCCTCATTTAATTAGGCATAACAGACAATTTTCAAGAAATGAATTCCCTTAAATTAGCCTACAAAGATGGTATACAATGGAGACATGTATTATGCCCTCTCATTCTAAATAATGATTCTAAAAGATGTTCCAAATGCTTCATGTTATCTCATATGATTAAATACAAATTAAGAAAATCTGTATACTGTTAATTTTCTAATTTTAATTTCAAAAGAAAAAAGAAAAGTCAAATATGTGAACAAGCATTGCACGAAATGAAAATAAAAGTATACATATATTTTAAACGTTTTTAATAATTCTTTAATATAACTAAATTGAAAAGTATTATATTATTTATTTATTATTTATTAAAATACTAAACATATTAATGTTAAGTATTTTCTAAATTATTCATTTATTTTACCATTCATGTTAAATGGTAAAAGAAAGGAACAAATTATTTTTGTAAATGATAAGATAATGATGATTTCATTTATTTAATTTCAACAATTTTTATATTGGTTGTTCATTTTGGTGTCTGATTTTTGCAAAACAAAATTTATTATTTTTTCTTTTTGCTCCATTCATTTTGAAGTTCTTGTAACATTTGTGGTGTTAGCAAACCTTCTGCCAATAATCGTTCTGTTAATTTACCTTTCCTTATGGGTACAGAGACCTTACGTTTACTACTTTCATTATTTCCTAAAATATAATCAAAATTATCAATACAAGTTACATGTAACAGTTAAATTCGGTGTTTTGATATTAAATTATAAATGATTACTTTTTTCTTTTTTTTCTTATCATTTCTATCAACGAATTTGTAATTTAATACGTAATTAAAATTCTACCTTTATAAAAATTATGTTTACGTGTTTGTACATAAAATTCATCTGGTTCCGATGGTTCTCCACTGTTCCCTCCTGTTAAATCAAAATATATATATATATATAATTTGATATTATATTATATATAATATATCAATATTTATTATAATATGACAAAAATTAACAATTACCATCCATAGAAGTATTAATTAATTCTTTCATATGAAGTACACCTTTTTGGATAAATGAATCTAATTCTTGTTGAACATCTCGTACTATATTAGTATCTGGGAATAAATCTGGGAACCGATAACTGCATACAAATGCATTATTTATAAATTTATATTTAAAATAAATATTTATAAATATCTATGTATATTATAGATACCTTAACCAAAGATATACATCCATAATATCAAACACAGCTTCCAAATGAACAAGATCGAGTATAGTTTTAGGTGTTGAGAATGGCCAACCGATGTGATTGCATAACCAGTTAAAGGTGATTTTATCATTTTTACTGTATTGACGAGCAAACTATAATAAATAACATTGTATTATATTAATCTAATATTTGTACATATAGATTATTTTATCTTAATATATATAAATTTCGTGTCACGTTGTTTGTACGCAATGGACTCGTAAACTACTGAACCGATTTGAATAAAATTTTGCACACTGTGTGCAGTTTCATTCAACTTGAAAGATAGGATAGTTTATATCTCAATTTATAATTGCAATTGACTTAAAGACGTGTGTATCGGACTGATTGTGAGYCACAGTAATTTATATAATTCATTTATCTTGAAGAAAATAAGATGATAGTATTACCTTTAGAAACATAGCACATGAAAATGGAAGTTTTCTATTAATTGGTGCACAACAGAATACATATCGTGCACGTAATGGTAAAGGAACATGTTGTATCATATCAGCGAGGAATTTGAAGTCATCAGTATTGCATATAAAGTATAAAGAATCATCAATTGTAGATAGTTTTATAAAAATATCCTAAAATAATAAATATATTATTTCTTCTTGTCTTATTATAACAACAATTAATGTATTATATTAATTTATATTATTACCAGAAGATTAGACAATGTTGTTTCTGGTAAATGATAAGCATATAATTCGATTTGATCAGATGTTGGATGAAGACCAGCTTGAGTAATTGGTTCAGGTTGTTGACTGAGTAAATGTTTCAGCGTTGGAAGATCATGTGCTTTATAAGTTGTAACATAGCCCTAAATAGTAAAATTGCAATAAAAATGTTTTAAATATTAAATGGAAATTATATTACCGTGTTCCATTGTGTCCCATAACGTCCTGCTCTTCCACTAATTTGCAAAGCTGTTGATACTGAAATTGTGTCCATTTCTTTCTCTCCTTTTTCATTCACCGTTGGTTGTATTAAAGAGTAAAAAATAATTCTTCTAATATGTCTGTATATGCATATATATTTACATATATATAGCAAAATATATTGTTTAAACATTTATAATGTAACATATAAGAAACTTACAAATTTAATCCCATTCCAATTGCATTAGTTGCAACTAATACTTTACAAGGATTATTTGGATCATTAAATTTAGCAGCTTGGGCAAGTTTTGTTCCTGGTGGTAAACTACCATATATTACTGCAGTTTCAATTCCTTCTGTTTCTAATTGACGAGTAACAGCAAATATATCATTTTTACTGAAACAAACTATACAGTCACTAGGTCGAATATTTTTCAATGATCCTAGTGGTGAATTTTCTACTACTAATTGTGTTAACCGTTTATATTTACGGATTTCAGGGGTTTCACCTGTTGTCAAACAAATTGATTTTACCTATAAATAATACGGTTACACAATTAACAAATAAATATTAAAAAGAAATAAATAAATTTACAGATAAAATAGATAATTACTAAATCTATTGCAGCTGTTTCACCACAAAGATGTATTTCATCAGCAGGAATTCCAAGAAGAGCTCTTGTCCATGCCCATCCTCTGCCAGGATCTCGGAGTAATTGAATTTCATCAATTACTGCAACCTCATCTGCAATAATAAAAAATAATTTTATAAAATATATAATAAAATAATAAATATTATAAAATAATGATTATACATACAAGAATTATTTAAATTAACCATTTCAACTGAACAAGATACGTGATCTGCAGGATTATCTGGACTATGAGCATATCTTCTTTCTTCTCCGGTAACTAAGTCACAAGGAGTTCCCTGATTAAAAATATATTAAAAGAGAAAGAAAGAGACTAAGAGATTTCTTTATATTTTCAAATAATTTGAAAATTTGATATAATCAAGTATACTAACCATCTTATTACATTTATTATATACTTCTGAAACTAATAACTTTAAAGGTCCACAATATACACCACTTTTTGCTCTTATAAATCTTTCTAATGCGTGATAAGTTTTTCCACTGTTAGTTGGACCAGCATGAAATATAATTTTTCTTGTTTTTGCTCTAGCTGCGGGATACCTGTAATTTAATTAAATAAATTAATTTAAATAACATACAAAGTATCTGAGGTTTTTCCAACCCAATGATGTCAGTGTATTCTATGCATATATATTTAGTTTTTAAATAAGCTTACCAATTAGCTGGTGATCTGAGATCACTTATTTTTTTAAGATCATCCAAACATTCTATATGAGGAAACAGTTTTTTGGCAAAACGTAAAAAATAAGGGAAAAGATCTGTTACATTTGCAGCATTTTGAAGAATGTCACTTAAAACGATATGAAGATCAGTCGGTAATGATTGTGATCGAACACAATATTCTCTAAATTCTATGAATGCTTTTTTCTGCAAATAATCTATCAAAGAAAATGTTATTTTATTCAAAAGTACATGTGCATGTTTATAATAATAATAATAATAATATGAAAGATAAATGAATTAGTGAAATAATATACGTACTATCTAATCCATAATCTTGTGCCAAACTTTTAATTTCCTTCATCTCGATGAATTTGTTTAAAATTAATAATAAATTTGTTTTATTTAAATCACCGGTTAATTCACTTCCAATATTAATGTCGTCTGGATTAGACTTGACAGGTACAGGACGAATAAATGAGTTTATATTACTTGTGTCATCGTAATTTTTTGTATCCCTTTTTCCTCTTTTTATATGAACAATACTTGCTGTTGGATTTAACGATCTAAAATAAGAAGTACAAATATATCAATCTTTTTTGACAAGTAACATATAATTAAATAATTTACCTTCTTATAAAAATGGATGCTAAAAAGGAACCTCTTCTTATATATTGTTCACAAATCAAATTCTGTATTGGTAACATTCTAACTAAATCTGCAATTATTAAAATGCTTAGAAATATAATTATATTTAAAAAACAATGATAATATTACAATGTATTTTACTTACATGAATCACGTGTTATTATAGTTGAAATATAGTATTGTTACAAAATGTTTTTTAAATATCAATATAATGTAATCACTGTTAGGCTCCTTGATTCTAAAAGAATCATATTTTTGTACGAATTAAAAAAAGTAGTTTCACTTGACAATCTTTTTTTAATAAAAATATACAACTTGTCTATGATTTAAACTTGTATTAGAACTTAACCTAACTTTCTTACGCACTTTAAAATACCCGTATAGACTACAGTGAAGCCAGATCGTAAAATATTTTTACCCCTTCCTTCGAGCCTAGCACGCTTCAAACACAACGAAATGTTACGTGTCGGTGTGTCGGGAAACCGAAAGAAGCCGAGAAAAGCCGAAGTTAGCTGCGCGACAGAGGAGAAATAATATTCCCACCACGCGCCGCGGAAAAATACATGGACACAAACACATTTGAGCCGTTCAGTGTCTCGCGCAGTTAACCTCGGCTTCCTTCGGCTTCTTTCGGTTTTCCGACATACCGACGCGTAACATTTCGTTGTGTGCGAGACGTGCTGGGCTCAAGGGAAGGGGTAAAAATGTTCTACGATCTGGCTTCCTGATACACTATGGCAGTATATGATCAGCTGTTTTCTAATGTACCGTACGTATTTTTAAACGCAATAAATAAATACAGAAATAAATAAGAAATTCGTGCAAATTATTGTCGCGAGAAATTATTTATATATATATATTACATATTTTGAAATATTATAAAAATGAACAAGGGTTGTTGGAAATTTGACGAAGAAGATAAAGGTAAGTTTATTATATTTAGGTTATGTTTCTTTATATATTTATAAGAATGAAAGAAATAATTCAAATAAATAAGAAAATAAATGTTTACTTAAAAAAATGTTGAAATTAAAAGTTTTCTTAGATATATAAATTGAAATGTAAATAAACAAAAAATCAATTTAACTTTTACAGCATTGTATATAGATTGGGAAGAAGATACAGAAGAAGACCAATCAACCAAAGAATTTAGTTATTGGGATAGATTACCTGATATACTATTAGAAGAAATATTTTCATATTTGACAATACGTGAAAGATATTATGCATCTCTTGTATGTCGATCTTGGTATCACGCATTTCAATTGCAAAACGTATGGTCAACATTTACATTAGAAGATACAACATTAACCAGAGGAAAATTTAATTATTATAGTGGTTGGCAATATGTTCTTGATCATATTAGAACGTCAACATGTCTTAACAAAGTTGGAAAAAATTTTCGTACTCTTATATTTGAACCTATGTTAAATTTTTATAATTTATATGAATTTATGAATATGATATCTTGGTATACAGAAAGACAAGGATCAGACAATACTTCTGTAGCAGGTGTAGGCATTAATATTCGAAGACTTAAATTTACATTTCCTTGTAATATGGCAAACAGAGATGATCCTGATCGTATTAGACTTTTTGGTACTGGAGGAAAATTACTTGAAGCATTGAAAAGGCTTATGAGAAATTTGAAGAATCTAAAATGTTTAGAATTAATTGACTTAATGCTTGATAGTAAAGAAGCTTTACATTTAATGGACGATATTTGTGAAAATTGTACTCATACATTATCCAAATTAATATTAATAAATACTACCAGGTATTATTGTCCATTATTACACGTAGGAGTGTTTCTTAATTTGAATGTAAGTTTTTTTTATAAAAATAATACTTTTCAATAATTTCAAATTCTATTTCTAATGTGTATATTTCTATTTAAAGATTCTTGTTATAAGTCCACAAAATCTTCATGAAGATGTCATTGAATTACTTGGACATACAAGATTAAAACATCTTCATATTTTACAAAATCGATATAGTCCAAAGGATACGACTGTTAGATTGGTAATATTTAAATAATAATAATTAAATTATAAAAAGAAGTGACACATGTTAATAAAAATATCATTGCAGCCAAAAAGAGCAGCGTGGATCAAAATGAGGACGAACAATCCATATATAAAAGTACATTTTGAAATAGAAAGTGGTAAACCCACTGATGTACTTTTACCAATAGATTTATTAGAACACAGTGCTGTACCATGTCATAGTATAGTTATAGATAATCCAAATACACAGGTTAATATAATATATTTTTTATAAACAAAACAAAAAATGTGTATATATTTAATAATCATATCGAGACATTACAGATTTCACCATCATGGATAATAACGCATGGTTCATTTTTCGATTCAACGATTCGAATTTATGCATTCAAAGGAATAACGAGATATTATTTGCATAAAAATTTTTCTAAAAGATTGGACGAAGCATTAGTGCAATTCTGCAAAATGTGTCCGAATCTACATACTCTGGTAGCATTTTGTGTTTAAACAAAACATTTTCTTGTCATTTGTGATAGCTTTCTTCTTTAAGCCCTACATTGATTGATGCTAATTAATGCCTTAATTGTGTGAAGATATGTATGAGAATCTTTGCAGTATGAAAGATTTTCTTACTGATTTAGAGTGTAAGTTCTCTGTAACACAATTTTCCTATCCCTTTTTAACACACTTTTGTAATTCGTTGTAAATATTTTTTTCTATTATTATAAATTTGAAACAAGCTTTTTGAATTTTTTTTTTTTCTTTTTTTTTTTTTTTTTTTTTGAAAAATTATTCGCTTTTTACTGTGGTTTATAGTTTTATGCTGATAAAATTGATTTCAATATAAAACTAACACAGTGTTATCCTGTATATATTAATAATATCTTTTTTTTTTGTGTTACCAAATATAATTTAATTTAATTKTTATAAGAAAAATTGATGTTACTTTTCTTTTGTCTTTTTTTTTTTTTTTACAGATGATTCATGACAAAATATCAACATCGACGATATTAGAAATAGTTACAACTGCAAAATTTCTTCGTTGTTTGTATGTAAGACGTAATGCAGTTTTAAAAAGATGCGATGGTGATTGGTTAAAAATATCATGCTGGACACCGGAACATTATCAATGGATCAAAATGAATAGTCGTAGTTATGATAATACGGAAAGGGAAGTATCCAAAATATTAGGCTACAGATGGCATATGTTATCTGAAAAAGAATTTAAAAAACAAACAATTAATTTACACATTTAACTATTATTTATATTCGTACGTTATGCGAATGATAATAAAAAAAAAAAAAAAAAGGAAAAAAAAGTAGATAGAATCGATAAATGCTAAAGTACAAATACTAATAATTATTCTTTCTATAAAATCAAAAAATGTATTTAATACTTTTCAATTATTTATATATTGGTATAATTCTTTTTGCTTAAGGACTGTTCTCATTTTTTTTTTTTTTTGGTATTAAAGCAAAAATACATATATAAAAAAAGTATTTATTATAGAATATTAAGAAAGGACTGCTTTAATTATATATATATATATATATAAATAAAAATAAAATCTAAAATAATAATTTCATGCAATCAAAGATACTACTTTTATTTATATCCTTCATTTTTTTTCTTTCATGATCATCGTTACAACATATATATATATATATATATATATATATATTACTATTTACAATGAATATAAATAATTCATCATATAACGTTATAATAATTATACACGATTATTTAGACAAATTGAATTATTAACTATTTAAATGAACAATTATGTAAATATTGTAATTCTATTTCTCAGTTCTTCCATTAAAATATTTTAACTGACTGTTGTGTTATTATATAAAGTTGGAAACACATTGCATTTAATGATACAAAACATATGTTTGAAATTTTTACAAATATAAGAACATTTTAAAGTTTAATTTAAAAAATGTCAATCAACTTTTAATGATTTTTTATTTTTTTTATTTTTTACTTACAATTAGAAAAACTTCTAATCACTACTAATATATATATATATATATATCTGAAATTTTATGAATATAGATTTGTTGTTGTATATACACAATACTAATAATTATACAAAGTAATCAATTTTCTAATTTTTTTTTTCTTTCTTTTAAGAAACGTCGTCTTTATAATTTGCACAATTTTCTAATTTTTTTTTCTGTGAACAATTTAAAATTTCATAATTTGTATAATTTGACATGACAAACCTTCATATATATATATATGTATATAGTGAAGGAAGAAAAACATTAAATATAGTAAATAAAAAACAAAATCGTACTTAATTAAATGAAAGAAATTTTAGAAATAGAACAAATTAAATATGTGGAAGTTACGGTGCCATGGCTGCAGATCGTTTGTCTCTAGTTTTATTGCGTAGAATGGTACGCGCCTTGAAAGCAGCAGCATTCATCAAAGTCTGAAAAGAATAATAACGTTTAATTTCAATAAAAATCAATTATATTATCATTGTAATAATATTTGTCAAAGTTTTACACTTACTCTTTCTAATTTGGTTGTTTTTTGAGATGGTATAGGCAACACTTTATTACCCAGATCGAAAATTTCACGCAATAATTGATTTTCAGCAAGATGGATGTTTATACCAGGACCAAGTAATCGACAACAAGCATTGTATTGAGTACGAGTACACCAGCCTTCTAAATATAATGTTTCTTGTCCAAATCTAACATGCATTTCTGGAACGATATCTTCCTGAAAAAAATAGACAAATATTTCAATGAAGTATAATATAACTTTTTCATTTAATATTTTATCGATAAACGTTAACAACAAAATGTTTACTTCAATATAACGTAATATATCACGGAAATTAGCCCTTTGTTGTTTACGATCTTTCTTTGCTCTATATTTATTAGAATCCGTGGCTAATTCCTTGAGTTCATCGATAAGACTGTCTGCCCATTTTTGTTCATAATCGTAAGAATATTCACGACCAAGTTCAAATATAACAGCAAGAGCTTCACCTGCAGATAACCTTACGTCGAGATGAGGTGATGTCAATAATTCACGTAGTCTATTGAGAGAGCTATAATTTTTTTTTTTTTTTTTTTTAAATAAATTCATTTATTATTAAAACAGATTAGATAAAATATATATATATGTATGTATATTTTGTTCATACTAACGGCATGTAAGTATTGCTTTTATTGCTAGCAAGAAGATTATGAATATCAGCTGGATTCATGACAGTTAAGAGAAGAGTCCATGATGAAATTGCAGCAGCATGAAGTGCTGCAACATCTGCAGAAACTGTTGCTATTGTACCATTTCCTTTTAAATATGAACCAGAAAATATGCCGGATAATAACTGGACAATATCAAGTGTATCAGCTGAATCATTACCAGATAAAAATTGATTCATGCTTAATGCCCAACAACACTAAAAAAAAAAAAAAACATACGACAATATAGTGACATAATTAAAATAAACATTAATAATTAAATACAATGATAAAACTTGAATATTGCATAATAATAAAAATGATATTGTTTTACTTCAGAACGTGCAATTGTAGATGCAGCAGTATCATTGGCAACAAAAGTTAAGGTAGATTTCAAATCTCTACAAATAGTTTCAGCACTTTCAAAAATTCCAAGTTGAACGCAAAGTAAAGTACTCAATCTAGCTGCTGTCAATTGTTCTTCGGATCTACCCTTTTTCAAGCTTCGTTCGATAGAATCTGAAATGGTCATTTTTCTATCCTCTATAAAATCTGGAACATATTTAATAGCGAAGATCTTTTCGATTCCTTTGAAACATATTATTCTGCCTTTAGCACTACGTTGTGTTAAACCATCGATGGCTTCCTTTAATTTTTCCTCAAACGTTTCTTGTTGCGCAATTTCATCAACCTCATTGTCGTTTACATCCTCTGGCATGCTGCGATTATCTGATTGACCACTAGAGACACTGCACGCATCATTGTTGATCGAATCCTCATCAGATGCTACTACTTCAACCTTTTTTCCACCGTGCCCTTTAATTAAACAAATTCATTTATATTATTAATAATAATGAATGAATAAACATTCTAAAAAAAACAACATGTTTATAAATCTGTTCGTTTAGTAACAGATTGCAATTGTTAAATCATTTTTATAGCTAATATGTGAAAGTGAATGGTACATTGTGTAATATGTGAAACCAGAACAGCTGTTACAGTTGATCACACATGACATTATAAATTTAAACGTCATTTCATTTTTTTATATATATATCTATTAATACTTTCAATATCCAAAACAATGAAATAAAATACATTTTCCATTAATGTTGCACAAGTTTGCGAAATCTTAGAAAGATAACCATATTAACAAAAATATCTTAATAATTATAATAATATCATTGAAATGAAATAAATATACAAAAATAAGAAAGATTAATTAATTAATTAATTAAAAGAAAAGAAAATATAATATTAGTGTACTTTTATATGTTAATTAATTAATTATTATTACGTTATATATAAATATATAAGAAATAAGATAAGATATATATATTTATTATATATTATGGTAATATTAAAATAATAAATTATTTTGATAAAATAACCATGATAGATCGATAAAGATGGTAGAAGGTACATTTAATGGTTCCTTTTAAAACCATGTGGAAAAAGCATGGAAGTCACATGGGAATTGTCGAAGGAAAGTAATCATATGGTTATCGATACTAATACTTTATAAATAGATAAATATTATTTTAATCAAGTTTTGAACGTTTTTTGACGTATTAAGTAGGGTAATACGTAGTAAAAAAATAAAATAGATTCTAATCGAGCATGTACGTTGGTATTGTGACGTAAGAAGAGGTAAATAAGTTCTTTACCAAGGATGAATCATTCGAGAAGAAGAAGAAGAAGAACGATTAATCGATAATTGTAAGATGTTCGTAGTATCACGTGTCAAATCGTAATTCATTCAATCATACAATATTTTAATAATTTAATTAAATTGATCTTTTAATGATAAAATATATTTTGAATGAAATTATAACGTTATTAAGTAAATGAACAATAATTATTTTATTGTTCTTCTTACCGGATGATTTTCCTTTTCTCCCTCCTTTGCCTGGCATCGTTCTCCACTTTTCTTCCTTCACAATTTATACTAAAAAATATACTTGATCAAGAGGGTAAATGTCTGATACTATTTATTTTCTTTCGTATACTGAATCCACTGTACGAATTTTTAATAAGAATTTGACAAAAACTCATTAACATGTTGCGGACTGTTTAAAACATACACGAGAACAGCCTTCGACGGGCTTTCTCAAGTGCACTGTCTTCACGAATAACCGAACATACCCGAAGCTTATCGAAGCCTTCTCGGTACGCGCATGCGCACCCGATGCATTTTTCTTTTCGTATCATAATTAAATGTATATTGTCCGGGTGTTGTTATCGCAATGGAAATTACGGCGCAATATCATCATTGCATTATTATTTATACTTTTGATTTTATATTGTTTCATGTAGAGAAAATAATTACATTAATTAAAATAACAAGTAAGGTATATATTTTTTTTTATTTAAACGAATATATAAAATTTTTATTTAATTTACATTACATCATCATTTAACCTTGATAATAAAGATGCATGGAAATATATATATGCAGATGCACATATACATATATATATGTCTTAATAACAATATTTAATTGTTATTAATATATAATTAAAATGTCAATTGATTTATGAAATAATATTTATTGCAATAATTATTTAGTTTTACAGTATATATATGTGTAGTCAGTCTATTTATTTCAATATAAATATGTCTTGTTTTTTCTTAAATCAAAAGTACTTTGATTAGAATTCAGGTGCATCTGCATGTGCATATTTATCTGTTTATATATTAAATTTATCAAAGTATCATTTAAATAATGTACATTTTAACATACTAAGTAAATTATTGCTACAATTACAAATAACAATCAATCATTATTAAAATTATTGCATTACATTCAAATGGTATAGATATCATAGATTTAAATAAAAAAACTAATCATTTTATCGAAACAATTTTGTTTTATGTAAAAACAGAAATACAGAAGATAAAAACATTCTTTGTCGTTGTTAATACATTTCTTTGATGATTATTAAGAATAATGAAATAACTTTGTTCTTATAAAAATTAGGCAATTTCGTTGTCGTCAAATGATTTCTTAAGGTACTTCAGATAACTTATTTTATCTTTATCTATCATTAATCGATATGCAAAAAAGAAAATAAATAAAATAATGAATATTATTTTTCAATAACAGATTAATCATATTTTTATATTTTATAAATACTTTATTTTACTATATATACATTTATATATATATATATATATATAGTATTTTTTATATAATTAAAATTAATTTTGAATATTGTTCATCAAATCAAGAAGACTTTACATTGCTAAAGTTTTGATTTAATCT